TCTGTTTTAGTTCTTTGTAGATTCTGGATATTAGCCAAAAGGGCTGCATTTAGAAAAGTGACTCCACTCCATTCCAGGGGTGTTCAAGCCAAGGCTAGATGGTCAGAAGACATTAGTGCTATGAAGGAGTTCTCTGCCCTGGGAGTAGGCAAAACTGTGCAACTATGATTGTGTGTGTGTGTGTGTGTGTGTGTGTGTGTGTGCAGGAGTGATGGAGATTGGGAAAGAGAAATGTCAGAAAGGAGAAACATATTGCTTTGTTACCATATATGTAGCCAAGGGAGGTTTGCTGATGGTCTGGAACAGACATCTATGTTAGTGAAAGAGAGGGTTGAAATTGAGGGAGCGATTCTGCTGGATCAAATGTGTCAACATTGGTGAATGTTTAGGTCTGCTTTTAAAAAATGTAACTACCTAACTGTGGGCTCCAAGTAAGAGTATACCAATCTTATGTTCAAGTATGGATTTAACTTGGAAATGCCAAGAACTTAGTACTCTATGTAACAGAAAAAAAAGTTTCCAGATGTGTTGCCTATAGTATGATCAAGATGGTGAAATGCCATCTCAGATTTAACTATGCAATATTCTCATAAAAGGCCTTCTTTGTGGTAGAGAACCCATGTTAAATTTTAGTCATCATGCTAGAACAAGTAGAGGCCTGGTGTTTTTTTTGTTTCGTTTTGTTTTGTTTTGTGTTTTGAGATAGAGTCTCACTTTGTCCCCAGTCTGGAGTGCAGTGGTGTGATCTTGGCTCACTGCAACCTCCACCTCCTGGTTCAAGTGATTCTTCTGCCTCAGCTTCACTAGTAACTGGGACTACAAGCACACACCATCACGCCCAGCTAATTTTTGTATTTTTCATAGAGACAGGGTTTCACCATGTTAACCAGGCTGGTTTCAAACTCCTGACCTCAGATGATCCACACACCTCAGCCTCCCAAAGTGCTGGGATTATAGGCATGAGCCTCCACACTGGCTGGTGTTTTAAGAGCTGATGTAGGTATGGAAATGGTTGAGGCTGGCCCAAGGTGCTAGAATCTCAGTTCCAGGAAAGTGTGGCTCAGCAAGGAAGGGAAGATTGATGACTTGTAAACAGTTTGAATTGTTCTAGTGGTTCTCCCTGCCACCCTATCCACACTCACTGTGGGCTAGAACCTGTGACAGATGCTGGGGATCCAAAAATCACTAGTAAAACACAGATCTGCCCTACAAGACTTTCTCACCTCTGACAATATCAACTAAGTGGTCTTTTAAGTCTTAAATATTGTGTGATGAAATCAATATCTTTGACAAGAGGCCTTTTGGGAAAGCACATTGGAAGATTTGTGTTGGGGTTTGAGGGGACTAAAAAATAATGCCCATCTTCACCACCCAAATTTGAAAGCAATTGATGAGCAGGTAGGTCGACGGCAATTATAACACAGTTTGAGCTGTTTGGACAGCATGGCTCGGGTTCAAAGATGAATAGACTTGTTTAGGAAACTATTCTGCCTCCCCATCTCCGAGTATGGCATTGCTCATCCAGTTGGAGATTCAGTAGACCATTTGAATATACTGAATGCACACATTAACCAAGGATTGCTGCTCCCTCTACACTGCGACAAAAAGGGAAGAAAGTAATCCATTCCGTAGTGCTCACAATCTTTTAATAGATTAGTCTTACCCAGTTCAGAAATGAGCCAATTGCTGTCACCCCAAATCAGGTTTCACGCTCATCAGTGGGGAAAAGTAAGTAATGGATAGGGTAGAGGTTATGAGTGTTCCTACAGATGAAACTTTCTTCCAATGGGAAACAAGAGGAATGGGGAAATAAATGTTCATTCTTAATTTTCCCCTACCTTTTGATCTTAATCATTAAGTTTGTGGTCAATCAGGGTCTATGTATCACCCCTTGGAGAGGAGAGTAGCAGCTACAAGGGAAGTCTTGCTCCCACCTTTTGAGATTGCTTTAGTATTGTGCCTTTTTGCCTTCTT